CAACAGTGAAAAAATTCTGTCACCGTCCACCACCGCGTAGCTGATGCCGGAGCGACGGGTGGAGGAGGCCGCAGGTGGCCGACGACGGGTGGAGAAGACTGCAGGTGGCTGGTGATGGGGTGGAGGAGCGACAATGGAGCGACGGAGTGGAGCCCTAGTTTAAGTTCTCGTTTTTTTTTCCCTTCTGTTGACGCTCGTTCATGGGATTGTGAAAAAAGAAAAGTGTTTTTCTTTAAACAATAATATTAGTTTTCAATCTAAAGGAATAGTATTTTGGTAAATATTTTGCAAAGCACACTAAAATTGTAAATACTTTTTTCAATCACTCTAATATTGTCAAAAACTCGGAGGCTTCATGGGGTCTATAGATTGTGGTCAGTTTTGTTGTACTTTTTTTTTATTAAAGTTTGATGATTAAACTTTAAAGTATATAACATCCTACAAATCCGGAAATAACAACTTTAAAAAACTAAATTTTAATGACATAAGCAAAAGATCCCCCAACATGAGAGTGTCCTAACAATAAGGAGTTGACAATACATTATAGAGGGTTTTTTTTTTCTCGGAAAAGACCTAAATACCCTTTCTTTATAACTTTAACAATGTAGGTTCATATACACCATGCTTGGACTTGGTGCAACTTTGTGTGTGATCGCATGCTCCGGTCACATCGCCGCAGAGACCGCAAACGGATGTTGCCTCTATTGCGTATCCTTATTTTAATGTTACTTAGTAAAAAGTTATTTTTTCAGCAACCCCTGAGCTGGCCCACACAACCCTATTCCAAAAACATCATGTCAGATGTAAATCAGTGACCTGCCAGGTAGCTGACAGAGTCCACATTGGAAATAAATGACAATAGTGCAATAATTTTAGTAGAAATGAATATTACGATTAATGGCCTTAACATGAATGTAGTATTTGGTCTTTATCTTTTTGCTTTTGATGGTGGAAGGTGCAGTCACAACGGATGTATTTCTAAATCGGAATTGGGAAGAGGTACTTTCAAGCGACGAAAGCTTTACAGTTCTTTACCCATAATAGCAATATACTTACATTTATTATTTTCTTTATATGATATTATTATTTTCATGATTTCAGGACTTTCCAAAAGATCCAAGTGGGAATTTACATGAGTTTAGGGATTTTATTAAGGAGAATTTCGATATATGCAAATGGGTCGGCTTGTCCATTCTTGGTGTTCAGGTTTGTGTGTTGATGTCATCTAAAATATTTGTGGCGTTTAAAATATTTGCGGCGTTTGGTTTGTTGGAATATACCGAAATACCTTTTTTTTAGAAGGGTAATTTAAATATTTTTAATTCTTATTTTTATTTAAATGAAGCTTGTTATAATTAATGGCAGGGGTTGTCTATATTTTTGGCACTCATTCTCAAAGCTCTTGGGCCATGGCCATATCATGAAGTAAAGTATGATAGTGATGATTATGCAACCGTTGAAGATTATCCACTTTTAAGAAATTACCCAAATCAACCCCGTTATGTTGTTGGTGCTCCCGTCTATGGAACTAGATGATTGTTTATGTGGACAATCAGGTACCTTTTCAGTTCAGTACATAGTACAATCTTATACTGTGTTTGACATGCATTGGACTAGGACTAGGAATGTTTCATCATGGTTTTTAAATTTGTAGGTTGTTACATGGAAACATGTTGTGGGAGCTTCGGGCAGATTCGTTATCTGGTTAAATGTAAAATGAATGATGTTTTGTTCGTGGAAGGTTAAATAGAATTTATTCAAACATTTTTAGTGTAAAATGCTGTTAATTATTATTATATATAGGAAATTAAAATTTAGGTAGCAATTAGCGTTCTGTTATATCATGTTTTGTTCGTTTGAAAAAAGTGAATTAGTTGTTTAAACATGTGGGTTTATTATGCATAATTAGACATCTGAAAAGTTAAATTGATAAATTATGATAATTTCATTTTTAGGAGTTCATTTTTATTTCAATTTTGTATGTATTATATAATTCGGTTTTTGTATAACTTTATTCTTTTATAAATTCGTTTTTACATATTTATTACAACTTTATTTTGAATAGGTTCACAATTTTGTTTTTTACAAATTCGCTTTTTAGAAAATTGTAAAAGCATGTGTTGTAAAAACTAAAAACAAATTTGTAGAAAAAAGAATCATAAAAGAATATAAAAGAATATGTAAAAACAAAATTGAAAAAAAAGAATTTATAAAAAACATATTTATACAAACGGATTGGTAAAAATGAATTATAAAAAATGTATAAAAATAAAGTTAAAAAATTACTACAAAATAATTGTTTTACTAAAAATGAATTTTAAAAAATGTATAAAAATAAAATTTAAAAATTAATACAAAACAATTGTTTTACTGAGAATAAAATTATATATAAAAAGGAAATATTAAAAAATGGAATATTTTTTTTTAAAAAGTTGAGTACCATAGTAGATAGTGGGGTATAAATTATAACATGTAGAAAGCATGACAAACTAGTTGAAAAATTAATTGATAGTTGGTAACAGGGATGGACGCAGGAATATATAGTAGTTGTTGTCCGGGTTGAAATAGGTATTGCCGATATAGGAAAAATAGGTAAAAAAATCAAAAAATCGAAAATTTTTCCACTGCTGACAGAAAAAGTAAATGTTGTCGGTGCTATATCGGGACACCTACTAAAACCGCCCCTGGCTGGTAAGTTTGTTGTTGATAAAAATGACATTTAGTAAACTAACTGATAAACCATCTGAAAAATATAAAATAACATATAAGAGCATGTAAAAAAATGTGTATATTATAATTAATAAAAAGTATTTTGGGTGAATTTTAAAATGCTCTATATAGTTGAAAAGCTACTTGGAGTAGTTTTTTACAAAAGCTAGTTTCTAATTTATTTTTTTGGTTTAACAAACATGACAACCTCAAAAAATCGAAAAATAAAATAACTTGTTTTTCGTGTTATTTTAGGTCGTCATGTTTAGACTATGTTTGTCGTACTAGCTAATCAATAAATTGTCTCAAACTAGCTTATCATGCAGTAAGTAACTCTAATTTATAATGAGAATTCAAATATTGAGATAGGTTATTGATAAACTAGCTTACAAACTAATTTGCTATACAGAGTCTTAATTTAGGTTTTCAATTAGGTTCTAGAGATCTTTTTTTTTAATAATTTAAAATATATCTTTTATTAGTTATATTAAACTCATTTTCTATATGCCCTTATATGATATTTTACACTTTCAGCTAACTTATCAGTTAGTTTTTAATAAACACAGTTTTTATCAGTAAACTTATCATCTAATAACTAGTATTTCGGCTATTAACTATCTTTTTAATTAGCCCGCAAAACATATCATAAATCTATAATATTAATATTATAATAAAAAATAGTTTATTAGATAAATTCAAAATAGTTAGTTGACCGTAAAATGGTTATCCTAGTAATATAACATTAAATAAGTTACATAAAATCTTTTTATCCTAGTTAAAATATAGCATAAATAAGTTACATAAAAATTCATTATATGTATGCTTGATACATATTAGATATATCTAACATATAGTAAAAAAAAATATTTATCACTTAAAAAGAACTTATTTATAAAAACTCGTGAGATATTAAATTAAAATTATAATAAAACTTCTTTTAGTTAATCTTGGAAAATCAAAAAAAATTAACTCATGCAATTAAAGTTTTGATTTCTTTTTTAAAAACAGGATTATACAAAAAAAATAAATAAATAAAAAACTATAATATATTATTTTATTCTATAAAAAAATGGAAAAAGGACATGCCTAACAAAAAAGTTGTACCCCTCCAAGAATGTTTCATTTTACCTTTGCATAGTAAAAAATATGATTTTTTTTTCTTTTAACTTAATGGTAATACTTTATTTCAGTACACATTTTACTAGAGTGACATTTTCCTTAAATTTAAAGGGATAATTTTGCAATATATTTTCTATAAATGGACCAAACATGTCAGCATACGAAAGTCTTGTGGTGAAAGTGTTAAACCCAAAAACTTAAATACATAGACCATTTCTGTAGAAAAAAAATATATGCATAAGGACCTTTTCTATAGATTACGGAGACAATTTTTGTAATTTATTTTCTATATAGGGACTAAACTTGCCAACATGTTAAAATATTGTGGCTAATAAACAATTTGATAATATATTTTGTACAAAGAGACCAAAATGTCAACATACGAAGTCTTGTGGCGAAAATATCAAACATAAACAGTATACTATTTAAACAAATTGATAATTTCTGTAAAAAAAACTACACAATGACATTTTCTATAAATTATATAGACTATTTTTATAATTTATTTTCTACATAGGAACATACCTACTAACATGTTAAAATATTATGACCAAAATATAAAACCATAAAATATACTATTAATAAGACACTTTGCTTTTTATTATATATAATAATTCGTGCATTTCCAATAGTCCAATCTTTTTAAAAAAAGATGACTTGTTGCGTCAAGTTATACTTTTACTTTTTAGCAATCATATACATAGTATACTTTGTTTTAAGTCTTTCTTTGTGATTTTGCATGTTCAGAATTTATTATATCAATTTCGATAAATAAACAGATAAAATTTCCCTTTGTATATCCTAGTTCTTATCAATCTATTTTATTCATAGTCAATTAACAAAGACACAATCAAACACTATGTCATATACGTCTTGATTCATCCCAAAGAACAAGATGTAGAAGCATGTCTTCTTTTTTTAAGAAATATATATAACATACCATTTAAAATTTGATTTAATTGATTTATTGTAACATTAACAGGTGTGCGCAGAGACATGTTTTAGGACACAAAATTAGGCAAAATTCCATAGAAATAGAAAGGTGATTGAACACTTTAAAAAGGGAAGATCGCAATATCGCATAAGAAAATCTTTATGAAAGTTTGCTTTTTTTTTTTTTTTTTTTTTTAATTTTTTTTAATCTTTCTTTCTTTTCTTTAGTCCCTTTGATGGAGGAGGGGGTGTCTTTTCATTAAAAGCATGGTTCAGGTTGTTAGATGCTTTGATTTTGATGGACAACCATGTTAAGAATATAAACCTTAAGTATCGAGTCATCTTTCTTATATGATAGATATAAAGTATTAAAATAACCAAAAGATAGCTTGATAACGAATATATATTGATTTTCATAACAAAAGTTTAGTAAATTTTTTTGAACGGAAATATATTGCAATTAACAGGAGCTAGTAAAATAAATATGTCACAATGAAAAGATAGATAAACTTGCGTTATACAACCAACCAATCAAATTACTTTGTACAAATTGCTCCTAAAAATCTAAAAAAAAGCTTTGGGAGATAATTTTAACAAAAAACTATGGCTTCCTACGATTTACCGTTTCAAAAACCTAGTAGTTCTGAAAACACCACATCGCTCACAAAGAAGTAACAACGACCATCAAACACCTCTTTTTGAACCATATTCAAATTTGTAGTGCCCAACCACTTTAGCAAGTCTTACAATATGGCGATTTGTAACCAAACATCCTTAGTCATATTACAAGAAATGAATAAATAATCTCATGTTTCGCTTGCAAAGTCGTAAAAAGGACAAAAAATTGAATTCACATCAATCATTTTATCCATCAAACTTCATTCTAGTAGGAAGACGATTTAGACGCAACCTCCAAAACAAAATGTTTGATGGGAATATAAGAATTTAATCTAGCATGCAATTTAATGTACAAAGTCGCACTATCTAAACACGATCTAGTTGAAGCTACCGAGAAAGAACCATTTGAATCAATGTTCCATGCCCACCTATCCATTTGATCCAAAATAAATACGATTGAATCAAGAGCTTCATTTCATTCTTATGCATAAGTTCGCCCCCTCTCCATTTGGCAATCTTCGAAAATAATTAGGCTAATATTCCAACTTTAAACTATAGCTAACCAATAACATTTTATTCAAATCTAATGAATAAACATGATTTTTTTTTTGTTATTTAACGCCATATCCCCACTCAAATATCTTCTCGAAAAACAGTTTGATTTCCATTACACACTTTTAGGCTACAAAACGAATCCAAATCTACCCCGTTACTAGCTAGATTATAAATTTCTTTCATAATGTTACTCCAAAAACCATTACTTGAAGCCTCGAAAGGATATTCATGTAAGCACCTCAGCACTTCTCATAATAATAATAATAAATTCTTTCATATCCCTCTTAAATCCTTTCATCCGATATCCGGTGGGACTACCTATACCTATTGTAACAAATAAGTCTTCAATCATAGAGATAACATGTTCTTTAGTTCGAGAATTAAAAGAAGAAAAGGAGCATGCCAATCATCTTTTTTAAACTCACCTAAGGTGGAATGTTTCCCCTTTAGTGATAACTATAATAGGTTTTAACATCAGATTTCAATCGTCTTGGCCTAAAAAAACTTCGACACTTGTTGGAATATGTTTCCCAACAATTGTAACAACAACGTTCGGCTATGACTGAAACACCTCTCATATGAGCTATTTGAAATATTTATAAATTAATAAACATAATATTTCAAAGTCTAAGTGTGGAATAAGGTCCCAACATCATTGTGTGATTCGATTTAGTAGTTTGATACTTTTAGAAAAACACGAGGGTGCAACGGTTACATCAATATACAAGTTAAGTAAAGAAGTTCTAAATAACATAAGTAGTATTCTAAATGTCCAATGCATCTCCCACCTTTAATCTTCCTTAAATTTCCTAATTTGAATACATATCAAAATATGTACATTAGGCTTGGAAAGACTAATGAGCATTATTGGGGTTCTATATTATTGAATGAAAAGAACTTTCACTTTCCATACACAATGTAAATCCCAAAAACATTTTCAATACATAAAGAGTTAGTATCAATTTGTATTTGGGGA